TTATTTTTCGTCTCTCCCTCCTCAAATAACGCACGCAGCTAGCCAGACACTCTTTTCATAATTGTCTTCCTTCTCTCACCCCAGAATTTTCCAATACTATTACATAGAAATCTGCTATTTTTATAAGCTTGATGTTTTTTCCTCTATCGAAATCTGATACGATTATACGAAGTACGATAGTACGGACTACGGAGTACATGTCTCTATCTCTACAATCTAATAAGCCTGAATGATAGTTAGGGTGTTATGGGTATAAGAAAATTTGTTGGTGGTATTGTAAGCTTTGTTGACATGTACCACATGCTTGAATGTTTGTCAAATTTTAAACTTCCTTTAGCTTCATGAAACGTCGTCTGTTTCTGTCATTATACCAGCAAACACTCTCAGTTAGTATGCCCACAAGGCCCACATCCGCTCCGTTCATACAAGCAGATGCCCGCTCAGGCGCACATACCCGGCCCTCACAACCCTTACTCTCCTTCAGCTTCTCTCGTCTAACTTCTGTTTTTCACTGGTTTAGCTCTTCATTACTCTATGGCATTTATGGAGCTGTTTAATTTCATTTTTGCTTGCAATTCGATCCTTCTCCTCTCCATTGGAAGTTATGGAAATTCAAATGACACACTCATCTTCACTCCGCTGGCCATATAAATCCATATTCTTCACCGGGCAAACATTTTTCCCACCCTGCTCACACTTCTCCTGGTAAGTCTTCTATCCTTGACTGTGTTGATTGTATTTGTTTTCTCCTTTCCTTACACAGCTTGCGTCGAACCAGTTTGAACTTTGTCAAATAAAATAATCAGTTATTGTGTTCTATTTTGTAACACCCTCATTAGCTTCGCATCTCATATGTTCGATAAAATGCTTCAATGGTATTTCCTTTCATATTTTGATATGTATATACTATCGTATCTCATATCACCTTTTCCCCCTTGTTTTATCACTTGCAATATAACTGGGTACAAATAGATTTACCAAGCCCTTGTAAGTCATAAGTAGTTGATGTAAATACCATTTAGAATATGCTCTTATACAGTGTGTTTATATAAGAAACATAAATCTGTTTCACATTACTTTTATAATATGACTAAGTTAATGCTGACTTACAAGACAATATCAATGTTTAAGAAACAAGTTCTTTGTTTTATTTCAGGTTTTAATCTACTACACTTCTTGTTGTTCTTGTTGAGACATAGAAAACTTTTAAAGTTCCAAACATGGATCAAAGAGATATGGTTGTGTGATTGGGAATAATGACCAGTTGGTCAACAACCAACAACCGGAATATACAATATTATACTCAAACCTTTGTACTCACTCGGAAACCTGTACGAGTATAGAACTTTTAAAGTGAATAGAAATATTTTCATGGAGTTAAGAGATGAATCTTTGATGTCTTTAATCTTGTGCTGCTATTTGTGGTTTCTAGATAACAGCGTAAAAGCCCCTTTAAGTCACTATTAGCGTTTCCGCACTAACATGACAAGGCTTAGAAAAAAGTTAAAGGTCAAGAACATATGTGTTTGTGACTGTGGTGATAATGTTTGTAGTTTTTTGTAAAACTAATAAAAAAGTTGTATGCTGCAAAAAACATAGCCTGAGTGTTGTCGTAAATACTATAATCAGCTTGGTTTTAAAATGCAGATCTCATTTTTGTTTTTGTATGAAAAGTGGCTGTAAGCTTTATTTGGAGGATCTATATTCAACTATTATGGTACCTGACCTCTAAGTTATATTTTAAAAATAGGGCTACCTGTAAGTTATACTTAACAAATTCAGTTACTCTCTTTTTCCACCTTTTCCTTTGGTTGGTAGTAGTTTTTCATTGATTTGTTTTAACTTTATTACAATCATATAAGCAATTTCTTATAAATGTTTACTACGGTTTTCAAGTTTAGATCTTTAATTTGACAAATTATGTTTAAAGATGCTACATGAAGCTATCACAAATTTGTCACTTACTCACTTGTACACTTTTATATAATAGGTGTTCTATATGTTTCAACTATTATATGTTAGATTTTATGGCTTTAACTTTATATGTCTAAAATGAAAAACCATCACAAAATTAGCCACATGAAGCTATCCTCCCACTGTATAGTAATTTCATTTTGATTTCCCCGATGCTTGTGTTATTAACGAGGTTTTAATGTGATGGTTAGCTTTTTTTAGTTGTTTTTATCTTTTAAATGTGGCTCTCAGCTATATATGTCCTTATAAATTGGGTACTAAACAAACTTGACAGCTTTTAATGATAGGCTAGGTTTTAAAGGAGCTGCCAAAATTCTTAGGAATTCCTGCATTTGACAGTTTTTAATATAGGTCATAGTGATAGCGTAGGTTTTAAAGGAGTTGCTCTAAGCCTGCAATTCTTCAGGAATTCCTCTGGTGATGAACTCCAATATGGTTATGCTGCATTTCTGCTCAAAATCAGTTTATTCCTTTAAAAAAATCTTTGGAGTGATCATTCATGTTATTCAGTGGGCTCTGCCTTTTGGTATATATTACTGTTTCCATTCCTGGAGTTTGATTCTGAAATGCTTCATGTTTTTTAAATAATGATCATTTTAGTTTAGTTATTTGATAGTTTACATTCTATATTTAGTTTACATAAGGTGAGATTATAAAATAATCTCTATGCTACTTGTGGTTATAAACTTATAATCATTTCAGCTACTTAGTGATTTCTTCCATTTGCGCTATAAGGATATGAAAATTTAAGGTGTGGTGTATAGGGACAGATTTAATGTGTTTTCAAGAAAACTAAAATGATCATTAGAAAAGAATGAGGCTCCAAAAGTGAATTATAGGATGGAAGTTTAACAAACTGTGATGATTTCTTGCCACTAATCTCTGGATTTTGAGGACTCATTCTTTATCTTGGGCGACCAATCTGGAAATGACCATTCTGGAAATAGCCGGCGGTCTGAAATTCTATTTCTTTGTGAAAACATGCTCCTAAGGATTCTTGGATCATATATTCCTTTATCTATCAGTCTATCACTTCTAGGTTTGTTCATATTTTATTTGACTCTCTTTATTTTAGTTATTAACTCCGTATTATTCCTTTATTGTTTCATTATTTTTATGCCTAAGACATTTTTCTCTATGATGTTTTGTTTCTTAATAAACAGGAACTACAAGAAAACTGATTTTCTACCACAGCTGTAAATAGTCACAAAAGATTAAGCAAACTGTGCTAAACTATACATTATTCTTTTTTTTTTTATCCCGGAAGGTCAACCACCAAAATCAGTGGGGCAAATGTCCGACATTTGCCGAGATTTTATTAAAAAATTATCCATTACAAAAAGTGAGAGGGACTATACCAAAACCTCACCACAGAGGCATTCCTCTGACAAAATACATGAGAGAAAATAGACTGATAAAAGTAAAATAGACTAATAATCTCATATCTTACTTTTGGTATTCTGATTTGAAGTCATTAATTTTTCATCTTTAAAGAAGTGTCATTGTCAATAGATTTTTCATAACTTAGGTTCGTTTAATGGGAAAATGATGTTTAGATTTCATGTGTTTAGTACTCCGTACTATAGTTAGTTCATAGTTAAATGGATCATATCATGTTAGTTTAATGTGAACATTTCTTGCTACAGAAACCCCATTTAGATGTACATATCCACTGTTTATAATTTAGGACGGCTAATTTTGCATGTTTAGAAAAGTGGTATGTACATTTAATAACTTTTTCATAATTTAAGTTGAAAGTTCACGTTTATATTTCAGATTTTTAGCATTAGAGTCAGCTCATATTTAGAAAGATTATATTAGGTTAGTTAAAGTGAAAATTTCAAAATTCATACTATGCTTTTACATATATGGAGTACATAAATGTGATTTACCTTCGAGAAACTACGTTAACCTAAACATATTCTGGTTTCAGACGATCCTTCCCAAGCTATTTATAGAAAGACATGGCTAGGGAAAAAAGGTGTTTAGCATGCATCACGGTCAAAGCGGCAGTCTGTGACACGGTTGGTGGCGTTGTAACAGATGTATGGGGAACTGTTGAGGCTATTAGATACAAGGTTCCAGAACTTTTGAAAATCAGGTACATTGAGCAGACTATTGTGGGCAGCTCAACCACTTTGGACAAATATGAAGATTGCATTTTAGAATAGTATCCCCAAATTTGTTATAGATAGTTCAGTGCGCTTAAGATACATAGTAATATCATACAAATGTAACATGGTTCAGGTTCAAATTTATTTGATCATTTTATGCAAATTACCTTAAAAAAACAAGTATGCAAGACAACACACAAGCACATAAACACGTTGGGCATTTTCTTATCGCGCAACGCGCGTCATAATAACTAGTTAATATAATACGGAGCATTATGTTTTTCCTCTACCGTTTGAATTTTTCATTCCCAAGTTGCAATTGTTGTTCTGATTAATTTATATAAAAAACTCTTGTTTTCTTATATTTTAGATTTTAAGTTGCAGGACGCAATGATTTGCAATTGTGGTGTAAATAAAGTTAATGGCCGGTGAACCTTAACTTGCGTTAATGTTTTTTTTTTTAAATGCTTCGTTTAACTACTTGTACCGACAATATTTATAGCAAAATGTGTGATAGTGGTGTATAAAATTAGTTATTAATTAAACATGATGTCCATAAAAGTGATTTAACAAATTATCAGCTAATTATAAACGACCACTTAACCAAACACTATCTTACAAACGGCTTATACTATCAGCCAATCAAAACAGCAACAGAATCCGATGTCTGCAATCGGCTAAATCAATCAGCCAACAGTCAATTGCCAAACATCCCCAATAAACCAAAATGATATAAGGAAGTGAGAACTAAAAAAGAGCATTTTGTGACATTTGTGTTGACATAAAAACAATTTTTTGAACATCAAAAGAATATATTTCAACTATTATTGAATAATAATTATAACAATATTTAATATACCGTGGTATAGAAAAAAAACCTGCATCGCACGGGTAGTCGGGTACTAGTTATGTAGCACACTGACTTATTTTTAAACTTCATTTACTTCATTTAACTAGTGTTTCACGTTACAACGCATTATCTAAACTTAGTTCCAAATAGTAGATCGAGTGCAAACAATAACAGATCATACAAATATTAATTAACTTTAGATTGTTGTGCTACACATAATCGAATCAAATTACTGGGTATAACTGTATAACCACGCAACACACTATTAATCACGAGTAGTAAATATTATGATCATCCTCGTATTAAATATGCACTTCAAACTAGAAAGTAGGGAAACAGCTTTGCACAAGAGTTATTCCTGACATTTCCCAATATAAGCAGATTAGCTTCACAAGTGAAGAACAGCATTAATGGTAAAAACTTTGATATGAATGAACACTTTCTACCACTAGCAAGCAGCTTTTACAGACCAGCCCTTCCATTGCAAATCTAATACCTGGGAAACTAAAAGTGCCTTTCAAGGCCTCAAGCCTCTGGAAATGTTCCTAAACTGCACGTGGTCAGCCAAGCGCACATTTCCTGAGATGTCGTGCAACTTTCACCTGCAAAAAAATGAATGCAGCATGAGGTAAGAAGATGTGGCTAAGTTTGAGTGGTTGAGTGCATTAGTAGGGACATATTCTCATCCCTGTTGTGAAGATATAATTTGAAAAAGTATGGCAAAGCCAATTTGATTAGAAAAGATCAATTTGATCAAAAGAAGCAAGCTGCCTCCATCCAGTATGAGTCCGCAAATTTTGAACTTTGAAGCAAAGGGGGGTTGAAAATAAAAAGAAAAAAAAAACAGAAATTTTATGAGATCTTGGACATGTTCGACATTGATTTTACTATATCAATCTTGTACGGGAACATGACTACAGGTCTACAGTAGTGTTTGATTTGCTTGTTCTTCTGAAAAGTGCTTTCTTTAGAGATTATGGAAAACCACCACCACAAGAACAACATTACCCTATGTTGGAGATTATAGACATAATACTTAATTGTAAAAGATGGTATGTACGGAAATAAAAGTGCTTGTAACAAAGTAGAAAGTGGAGTGGTTGGTAATACTAAAAAGTAGAGTTTTTGGTGAATTGGTTAACCAAATGTTGTACCAAGTGAAAATCAACTTTAAGCTTTGAGTACATGAATGTAAAGTTCAAGCACGACGGTTAGTTTTTTAAATATAAAGCTTTATGAAATACTATAAATGTGTTTCCCTTGTTGAAAATGATTTTAAAAAGTTGAAGTTGAAGTATTTGGTAAAAAAGTACCTATTCATGTAAAGTATTAGAAAAAGTTAAAAACAGCTTCAAGCAATATTCCCCTTACACCATGCTTACAATTTTTAGCTTTAAATTGCTTATAGATAAAGAAAGTAACACTTTTTAACATTTTATAAACAAAAGCACAAAATTGCTTCCTAAGAGCTAATGCTACTCAACATTTTTTCATCTTACACGTAGTATTTTCATGCAAGAAATAAAGTAGCACGATGATAGTTTAGGAATTCCATCTCATTTTTTGATAGGGACCTACCTATTAGACTAATAAATAGATTAGTAGCTATTAGTTAAAATTCTTAAATAAGGTAGGCAAAGAATTGAAAGGGGGAGAGGTTGAAAGGTGCATAAAGGAGTTTGCATTTCAGAACATAGAAATCATGAAGGGCTGCAGAAAAGTGAAGAAAATTTTGTTGATATGGAGTGGGGAGAGGTGACTGAACCAATTGGAGATTCACTTTCTGTTGCAGAAAGTTCTGTGATTTTAAAAGATCTCGTACTGAAGTCCCTAGTCCATTAACCAGTTAGATATTGGGAAGGGAGAGGAACAAGGAAGAGGAAGAGGAAGCAAAAGATTTTGGCTTTCTCCTATTACCCACCTTGAGGACAAGGTGGATGTTTAGGGAGGGAGTATTGATAGGGACCTACTTATTAGACTAATAAATAGATTAGTCGATTAGTTAAAATTCTGTGATAGATATTAAATAAAGTCAGTTGCTGGACTGCTATAAATAGAAGTAAGGCTGGGAGGGAAAGTAGGCTTTTGGACATTAGGTCTGGGACTGAGAAGATCTGAGAAGTCTGTTTCTCTTATCTTTGGGGGCTTCGGCCTGGGTTACTGTTACTGTTCATCTTCTTTAATAAGAATTTTCAGTTGTTTCTTGATAGTAATTCCTGTAATTGAGGTGATTTCTGGAGGATTCTATCATTTTTTAATCCGACAGAGTATGGAATTTGACCAGGCATGGAGATTAAGAAAAAGAAAACTGTGTGATTGAAATATATCTAAAAGAGAAATAATATGAACCACATGATGCTTTCATTTCATAAAAGGAAATAGGAGTAATTTTTTTAGATAAACCAGGAAAAAAAGAGTGTGAATTATTTAGGGATGAATGCAGTATTAAATTCCATGCAACTAATTGTAGCCATATAACATCATAAATTCCATGCAACTGATTTTAGCCACATTACATTAAAAGTTCCAAGTCATCATTCACAGCGAGGTGGGATTATGGTGGCGAAGATGATGAGGATGACTAATTAAGTCTCCAATAGATGGTGTTGATTCACCTAGTCGGCAATTATTAATCAAGTGAAATAAGCCTATAATGCTAATAATGCGCTTATGCGCCTAAGCTGTAAAGGCTTTAAATTTTAGATTTCGTGTGCGGCACATAACTTATCATCTTAACCATAAATATAGTGTTCAGAACTACAAAAGCACAAAAATACTATGAGGTTCTCACCTTAATTCATTGTAACAAAAAATTGTGTGGAAATGGATTCAATCCCGAAGGCCAAGCTCCATTTCAAGTTCATCGTCCTCTTCAAACAACTTTAGCAGGCGAGCATATTGCTCTTCACGCCTTTTCTTTTGCCAAAACTTGAAAAGGAAAAAAGATAACCCAGCAACCACTATAAGTCCAGCGCATATCATGAGTGCTCTATAACCTGCACTCTTGTTTGAAGAGGCGTGAGCATCAGCCTTTTTTTCATTTCTGGGACCTGATGGATCGTCTGAGGAGCCTGAAAGGGTGAGACCAGTAAAAGAAGAACATATGAAACACTGCAGTTTGGCGAATCGTCAATATGATAGAGAAGGTACCAAGATTATACGGAGTAGATCAATATCAAATCATTAATACTTTATCAAGAAAGAAGAAACTAAGGCCCCATACCCCATTGGTATCCCTTATTTGGTTTATATGAACAAATTTGGAGTATAATTTACTGAATTTTCTGAAACAGGCAAAGCATTTGGGAACTTCCAATTCGGTAAAATAACTATGCCAAAGGCTCCTTATTTTGCTGATAAATCGAATAACAAGTAGAATATGCCGAATACCAAAAAGAGCCTAAAGGCTAAAACGATCTTCTGATTCATAAAAAATCAAGATTGAAATAGAGCATCGAATGAATACACAATAATAAAACGAGTTAGAGCATCAAATGTGTGTACACTGCATTTTCTAACTAGAATCCTGAATCCCCAATCCACTTTAGCTCAACTAACCAAGTACACAGAAAAAGAGCTCAAATCTTTAATCACATTTTTCATGTCGATCAAACCTATTGGCTGATGCAAACATTAATTACAGAGTAAACTACTCCGTGTGACATCAACCGAACACTATGCAAATGAGTGAGACAGGAAAAATGGGACAAAAGATTACAATTCTACAGAAAGGGCTGTTTTGCAACCAAATTTCTAGAAAAGGGTGGTAATCCAAGAAAACTTCCCAAAAATAAGATCAAAGTGCCATCTTTATCCAGCAGCTATGAGTAACCTTTTCCATTGATTTTCAATCCCCCCCCCCAACAACTTAAACTGGAAGAATGGATCATGATTATGAGATCATCAATTAGATATAGGCCGTATAAATTTCAAATTACAAATTTACAATCACAGTAGATTCCCAAAGCAGATGATGAACAGAAGTTACAAAATTTTCATTTATTCAAAGCACCCTCTAACTAAAAAACAAATATATTCTGGATTCAGAATACACAGAGATCCCAGAAACGAACCTGGAATGAATTGCGACGAAAATGAACAGAGCAATAGAAGAAATCGCAACGATCTCTCCTCAATAGAGATCTCTCTCATTTCTCTATTCTCCTTCTCCCTTAAATTTTTATTTCCTATTTTTGTCCCTGAAAATAACTACCGCATTAAGTACATGCAGATGAAACTCAAAATTACAAAGCAGTCCCGCTGCATTAAAAATTACAGCGACAGGGCCCATACGATTTATACTTTAAATGTGTATGCAATTCCAGTCCAACCAAAGTCTAACCAGCAGGATCCGACCACGTCCACATGAGCTTGTCGCTCCGGGATCCTTCACGTCATTTAAGGCGAATTCCTCCGTCCTCTTCACCAATTAATTATGTGTGGGTATTTATACATACAGAGAGAGAGAGAAAGGAGGAGGAACGGCGATGAGGGCGGACGAGGAATACGATTACCTGTTCAAAGTGGTGGTAGTCGGCGATTCGGGAGTCGGGAAATCGAACTTGCTCTCCCGATTCACCAGAAATGAGTTCTGCTTTGAATCCAAGTCCACTATCGGCGTTGAATTCGCAACCCGTACTCTTCAGGTACTAATCCGTTTTATTCATTGCTAGCTTGATATTCAATTTTGTTTAGCATTTCCACTCCAATGCTGCAAGTCCGCTGCGACCATTGTGGTAACTGGTAACTACGAATTTTTTCCAGACCTGTTTCACAGTTCATACATTTAGTCCGTACAGTTAAGTTCTCACGTTTGTTGAGATGCCCCTAACTAAGTTCACATTTCGCCTTTTAACAATATATTAAAAACTTTATAAATTTATTGCAGATTAAAGTTTATTGAAAAAGTGATGTGCACAAGCGTTAGAGCATCTAATATGGTTCCTTTTGAAGACTTGTTTGTCATTTTAAAGCTAATAGCTTATCATTGGAGCATTGATTTTTCTTTTGCTTGACAAAGTTAATTAACCAAAATGAGCTACTAGTCTGAGCAAAGAGAATTATCAAATATAGCATCATTAATAACAAATGAAGAAGAAGTTATAGCTAATCATTGAAGTGGATTTTAACTTTGTTACAAATGCTTATATGGATAGTCAAACTATGAGTGTAATTAGCTAATCTTAATATGCTTCATTGTGCCCCAAGTTATTACAACATGGTCTTACTATCACCGTGATAGTATCAAGATGCTAGTCTTACGAATTTCATAATGCTATACAAATATACGTGTGAATTTCATGGTTGATAGATTTATAACTTACTCCCTCCGTCCCATTTATATTGTCCCGGAAGAGGGTGACACGATTATTAAGAAAAGTGGGTTTGTGTGGTTGATATTAATTGATAAAGTAAGAATAAAGTAAGAATGAATTAGAGCCACACAAACTTTGCCAAATATGGTATGGGACCAGTGGCGGAGCCAGAAATCTACGATTAAGGGGGCCGGTTCTTAAAAATTTTACATTGTAAGGGTCAGAGTTTAAAATATCAACATATTTTCTATAGATTAAAAGTATTTATACATAATATATACTTAAGTATTTTTTTCTTGCCGGGGCCGAGGCCCCCTCCAGCCCCTCCCTGTCTCCACCCCTGTATGGGACAATATAAGTGGGACTTCCCGAAAAGGTAAAACGGGACAAAATAAATGGGACAGAGGGAGTAATCATTATAAAATATGAATGTTTTGGTTTATACTTTATGCGATTTTCCAGATTGGTAATCGTATTTTATGAGGGGAGGGATAGTAATGTAGATTATGACATTACTATTGTCAGCAACATTCTTAAGTTTGGTGTGCATTGTTCTGAGTTTTCATAAATCACAGCTTAGGGTGTTAAATGCAGGTGGAGGGAAGAACGGTGAAGGCTCAAATATGGGACACAGCCGGGCAGGAGAGGTACCGAGCCATAACCAGTGCCTATTACAGAGGCGCAGTCGGAGCATTGTTAGTCTACGATGTGACGAAGCCCGTCACCTTTGACAACATCGACCGTTGGTTGAAGGAACTGAGAGACCACGCGGATAAAAACACCGTTATTCTTCTCATAGGGAATAAGACCGATCTCAACCATCTCCGGGCAGTCGGGACGGAGGATGGTGAGAGTTATGCGCAAAGGGAAGGTCTCTCGTTTATTGAAACCTCGGCTTTGGAGGCAACCAATGTGGAGCAGGCGTTCCAGACCGCTCTTTCTGAAATGTTGGCTAGGGTCGTCAGCAAGAAGTCGATTCTGGCCGAGTCAAATGGCGGTGGTGATAGTGTTAAGAAAGGAAGGAGTCTTGTTGTTGATGCACAGGAGACAATGACCAAGAGAACTTGCTGTTCCACAGCTTAACTGAGAGCACTTTGTATGTATTAGTTTGGGTCTAAACTTTTTGTTTTGTGTGAATGTCTTTATATGTTTAAGTAAGTCAGCCATGTTAGTTATAAATGTGCACTTCACAATACTTCGCGCAATAGTCCATGCTCATTCAAGATAGTTCACACACATAATAAGTTTGTGTGAAGCAAATCAAATATTTTAGATGAGAATGTCTATTACACAAATCAACATCTGTGTAACTTAGTTCACAAATATTAATTTTTGAATGTGAAGATATGACATGTTTTACAAGTCCATTTTCTTCCCGAGCATGTAGTAGACTAGTAGTTGCACTTCTAGCACTTTTTTGGTTGTGGTTCTTGTGTTTGGTTAATTTTAGATTGCAATATGCGGCGAGTAACTATATATGGAGCATGTCAACGTATTCACTATAAGCACGTTGATATGACAAATAGTTAAGATTCATTCATTTAAAAATTTGAGAAATCTTGATTATTCATCATACTTCAAATAATTTTCATCTTATCGGTATGTAGAAGATTAATTTTCTTTTTCTTTTGAAGCAGCAGAAAAGAATTGCCTTTTCAAAAAAATGATATTATCCTGTCATTACATCCTAAGGAAAAAGTCTTATTTAAAAAATATCTTTAGTGAAAAATGAATATAGTTTTAAAACTAAAATTTAATATTTAAGACAAAAATTCAATAAAACAATCCACAGGATTTTTCCTCAAGCAGTCTCAGAAGTAAGTTTTAAGTATAGAAGTGGTAATTGAACTTTACTTTGTTTGTGGGGATGAAGTGGTAATTGTATGACTCATTTTATCAAGTCGCTTTTTTAAATCTAACCAATGTGTCTACCAAGTCAACGTGTAAGCAATGAACTTCACTTTTTTTGTGGCGCTCCATTGACTCTCTTCTCGAAATGGATAAAACAGCACGTACATTGTAAGCAAGTACGTAATATTTAATTTTTTGTGGGTAAGTACGTAATATTTATAGTCATTGTTACATGGATTCTTTAAAAAGATCAGACAAAATTGAAGAACATTACCTATTATTTATATCCTCTTTCTTGACGCGGTTTGGAACTAAACTAAGAATTGACTAAAGCTTTGTTAAACTAGGGTGGGTAGACCCCCTGTTTTGGAAGAAAACGGCATAAATATCATCCAAATTTTTACCTGAAATTAAGTTAGAATGTAAAATCAATTCATAACCATCAAGTGAGACGTGAATCCAACTCAAAAGGCGGAATCTCCTCAAGCCAAGCAGCCCCGCACTCCAACCGGACAGAGTAGTGAAGTAAATCACGATATAATTTCAAACAATGAATAATTTTGTAGTAAAATAGTTCTCGATAAAGATATGAATCCTTTTACTACTTACTACATATTTGTGATCTAGAATCAGACCGCCTATATCCTCCAGTGATGAAGGATATAATCATGATTTTAGACAAATTGTGATCCAAAATCAGACGAAAAATTAGTAGAGTTGTAGTTATTAGCCTTTGTTGCCACACATCTTGATGCAGGAACTAATCCTCCAGTGATGAAACAAGCCGGTCAAGAAGAGAAATCGAGACCTTTCAAAGTAGAAGAGATAGATTTTTTTGCAGTGGCAAGTTTTTTTCTACCTGTGGTATTTATAATCAGATTGATACGTACTTCCCATTGCTATGACAAACCAAATTTTTACTCAAAGAACAGTGAACCATAATGATTATCCCCACTTACTCTAAATCTACACCAATCATCCACTAATATCACTATTTTGAATTTAAAAACCCATCAATCAAATAACATCACACTTTCCACAATAAGATTTTCAAGATTTTGTATCCCATGTGTACAAATGTTATCCACAGCACTAAATTTTCCAAATCAGCCCACCATTGTTTTGTATGAATGTATTTATATATTCAACTATTCAAGAAAGTCACCCATGTTAGTTATATATGTGCACACTTCACAATACTTCCCGCAAGTCCATCTTTCAAGATAGTTCACACACATAATAAGTTTGTGTGAAGCAAATCAAATACTTCAGATGAGAATGTCTAATACAAAATTCAACAACTGTGTAACCTAGTTCACAAATACGAAGTATTAATTTTTGAATGTGAAGATATTACATGTTTTTCATGTCCATTCTCTTCGCGAGCATATGTAGTAGTTACACTTCTATCACTTATTTGGTTGTGGGTCTTGCGGTTGGTTAATTTTAGATTGCAATATGTGGCCAACTTTCATGACAAATGATTAAGAATTTAAGATTTATTCATTTAAAATTTTGAGATATCGTGATTATCCATCAGCTAACTTTCTCCCTAGTGAACACATTAGTGTATTCCATATTTTTTTTCATCCTATCACTCACTGGTTGTTCTCCTTTTCTTTTGGGGCTGAACATATGAATTGCGTTCTTAAAAGTTGAGTTCCTATTATTACATCCTAAGAAACAAGTCCTATTTCAAGAATATCTTCAGTCTAAAAAAGAATTGAATTTTAAAATTAAAATTTAATGTTTAAGTGAAAAATTCAATAAAACAATCCGCAAAATTTTTCCTCATGAACTCATATAAGTAAGTTTTAAGTATAGGAGTGATAATTGAACTTTAATTTTTTTGTGGGGATGAATTGGTAACAGTTTGACTCAAATTATCAAATCATTTTTTAAATCTAACGTGTCTACCAAAAAAAGGATGACACCCCATCCCTGAGGGCCCCCCAACACCGACCGGACAGCACGATGGGAGGATGTAAGTTGGACTATAATCACAACCTGACAGATAGAGAGTGAGGCTCCGTCCCTGGTACTTGCAGAGGCCCTATACATTTTTCAACATAGTAACCCCTTATCGTAGTTGCCGGGATTCGAACCCGAGACCTAACCCTTGTGGCACTCCCTTGCTACCAGTTGAGCTACGCCCACCGGTTCTAACGTGTCTACCAAATCAACGTACCATGGCGCTCCATTTGACTATCTTCTAAAAATGGATTAATTTAAAGAGATCTGCCAAAATTGAACAACATTAGCTATTTAGACGATCTCACTTTGTTGATATCCTCTTCCTTTAAGCGGTTTTGGGCTAAACTAAGAATTGATTGTAACCTTTGTTAAACTAGGGTGGCTAGAACCCTGGTATTGGAAGAAAACAGCACAAATACCATCCCATTTTAACCTAAAATTCAATCAGAATGCAAAATCAATTGAGTAAAGGGTCAGTTTGGTCCTCGAAGTTGCAAAAAAGGGGTCAAATAAGTCCTTATATAGAAGATTCTATCCGGACGTGCCATTTGAGATGGCTCCCGGTAAATTTTTTTGATAAAATTTTTTGAGCATCTTATTCATTAAGTCTAGTTTACTCATACCAAATTTCAGCTAAAAATTCAATCGGGGAGACATTCAAATGAATTCTTGAAGATAACTGCGCTTTTAACAGCACAGTTATCTTCAAGAATTCATTTGAATGTCTTCCCGATTGAATTTTTATCTGAAATTTGGTATGAGTAAACTAGACTTAATAATAAGATGCTCAAAAATTTTCATCAAAAAATTCCACCGGGAGCCACCTCAAATGGCACGTCCGGACAGAATTTTCTATATAAGGACTTATTTGACCCCTTTTTTGCAACTTCGAGGACCAAACTGACCCTTATCTCAAAATCAATTTGTAACGATTGAGAAAGATGTGAAGCCAACTTAAAAGGTGCTATGTTGCACGGAAACGCAAAAATCATGAGGAAACGGGAAACGTCAACTTTTGCTTCAATAAGGCTTGTTTGGAGAGTTTCAGAAAAATTTTCGTAGAGTTTCCGAAACGGAAATGTACTCTTTCCCGAGAGTTTCCGTGCTACATGGAGAAGGTGTAATCACCCACCCCAAGCAACCCCACACTTAGTCATGGACCCGGGCCCGGCCGGGCTTTTTTTTGGGAAGGAAGGCCCGGGTAGCCACCGGGTCCGGTCCGGGCCTCCGATTCGGTCATAATTTTTTTTATGCTTTCCTAACCCCCCCACTCACCCCCCCCCCCACCCCCCCAAACCCCTCCTAACCATCAAGCCCAACCCGGCTAACCCCAAAAAATGAAAAAAAAAATAATAAAAAAAATCAATTCGGCCCGGGCCCGGGCCCGGACCCGACCCGGCCGGGCCCGGACCCGACCCGGCCGGGCCGGTTCGCCAAATACAAGGCCCGAGCCCGGACCCGCCCCCCCACCGGGCCTAGGCCCGACCCGGACCCGGACCCGGACCCAAGAACCGGGCCGGTTCCGGGCCCGCACAGTGGCGGGCCGGGCCGGTCCCGGGCCGGGCGGCCCGAACTGGGCGGCCCTAACCGGGTCCATGACTACCCACACTCTGAGATAGAGTTGTTGAATATTGGTGATCCATTTTACAACTGAAAAATGTTCGTTTCGTGTATATTTTTCACTTCTGCTCATTCTCATTCCATAAAATGTCATTTGAATGCAAGAAAATGCTCATTTTTCATCTGAAGAGAGCTCATCTAGATGTCATTATAGAGATGGCAATTGTGACCGATCCAATGGATACCCGAACCGAACTGCCCCCGTCAAAATGGGGAAAACCGCATTGACGGGGTAACGGGTATGGGGCGGGGAATACCCGTTTTGTTTTTACGGGTAACGGGACGGTTACGGTTTTATACATGCCCGCCCCATTACCCGCCCCGTTTATTTTAGTTATATTTTTATTACATTTTTATCTATTATTTGTCCCATAAGTAAATGAAGATGAGATTTTTTCTATTTTCATTAAGTATGTGGATAATAGATGTACTAACTATAATGTTCAATGAGAGTTCATAATAGATCTTAATAGTCTTGTTTGATTATTATCAGATTTTTTAGTGAATAATTATTTTTCAGATTAAGTATTTTTAGGTTCAAATTAATTTATGTTGTCTTCTTTCTCGTTTTGTAGATATACGAAACTTTAAAGTGACGTCTCAGTCTAGAGTCATCTAGGTGATGCCATTTTTTGTCTTTTAAAATATATTTTTTATACTAAAATGTCAATCACTCATTTAATAAAGCGATTACCCGCGGTTATACCCGTTACCCGTTGGGGCGGATACAGTTTGGGGAAAAATTACCCGTTGGATAATGGGGCGGTTATGGGCGGGGAATTATCAAATGGGGCGGGTACGGTTATATGTAAAACCGTCCCCGAACTGCCCCGTTGCCATCCCTAGATGCCATCCACCAGCTACATCCAACTGTAGAATATACATCGTCATGACTCATGACCACCCCTTGTTTAAACTGAGAACTGATTTTGCATTTTTGCCCCACTGCCAAGCTAATCAATTAGCCTACATAATTTTAACTGTGACAGCCACCAATTAGCCAAGTCATTGGGTCCGAGCTATAAAGCATTAAGGGAAACTGATATTCACTAAAAGCACGTAAAAGAAAACAAATGACGTTAATTGTCTATCACATAGTTACAAGAGTGGAGAAGAGATTTTGAACAGTAGCTGACTTCTTGGGGAGGGGGGAGGGGGGCATTAACCACAGCAGTTGCTTTTCTGCTCAATTGGCTGTCCCCTGATTGGAACAGTAGCTGTCTTCTTGCTTCCAACAGGCTGGTTACCCATTCTGCAGTAGAAATGAATTCATAGAAGTTACCAGCAAATTATGAATACTTGTTATTAAATACGGAGTATGATTCTGTCATTCTGCATTAAGAGGGTATTAGAAAAAATAAAGGTTCTGCCAAATCAAAATCTAAATATGTTGTAAGTGACACCAAAATGAATGTTTGGCAGAGCTGCTGTTGTGATGCGATTTTGAAACAAAATAGCTGGAAAAAATGATACTATCATAATCAGTGTTTAGAATCATGTGATGAGTTGATTTTGAAACCGATTGTTTCAAGAAATTCTACTAAACACCTTAAATCTGATTCATATTTCTTCTGCTTGAAACACATAATCAGTTTCAATAATGATGAAACAAAAACAACACATGAGGACTGAATTGTTGTTTCTGAAAGCGTGTATATAATGTCCTAACCGGCGACCATTGTAGTCGCAATTTTACTACTAGTAGAATACTAGACTGCATTCAAATCTTTTGCAATTCTGTGATTATGAAAAGAAAACTTTCCACTTTGGGTCCCATGACTATAGGGTCATTCCCACAATTAGTCCCTAACGTTCACTATATATAATTTTGGTGCACAATTATACATTCCGTGCCCCTTTGGTCCATCCCAATCACTTATCAAGTCAAAATCAGCCAGTAAGAGTACTGACATCGGCCTGTTAAGTGGTTATAAGGACCAAAAGGGAGAAATATTGCATATATACACCAAATGTGGAAATAATGAAAAAGTCAAAGATTAAAAGTGAGAATGACCTAATAGTTGTGGGGATCAAAAGTTAAAACATTTTGTTAGGGAAATGTAGTATCAACATTTTTGCCCAGTACTTCATATACTATAAAAGAACCATAAAAAGATATTTTGAGCGACAATCAGTACAAAGGAAGAGATCATGGGAACAACAAGCACGGCAAGAGGTAATATGTAATTACTTTTTCTTAATCTCGCCAGCCATGGTTAAGAAAGCCTCTTCTACATTGATGGAATCTTTTGCACTGGTCTCAAGGAAAGGAATCCCCAGCTCATTTGCAAATGCCTTCATTTTGATTGAACATCATCAACATCATATAATCAGAAACAATCAAACAAAAATGTTGTTTTCTCCAATTATTGATATAAGAAGAATGCACTTATTTATTAGAAAAGTATCAAATGTATTATCAAGTATAATTACCTTTGCTTCTTCTGTTGTCACAACCTTGTTGTCCACCATATCACACTTATTCCCGACTAAGAGCTTGCATACACTTTCACTTGCGTATCTGTCAATTTCATTTAGCCATTGCTTGACATTCTCGTAGCTTTCCCGTTCAGTTACGTCATAGACAATCTATCATTCAAAAGTGTAAGAACAATTTGGATGGAAGAAATAATCCTTTCATTATTAAAACTCTAGTAATCAAACAAAAAGCATCAAGGGGCCCCCGAGGGACCCAGACACGAATCCACCCCTTTTGTGAACAGCAAGGAAAGACTAGATTCATGCGCCAGAGATACTAACACATGAAGCTTCATTTGAGACATTCTATGTAACTTAAATATGTCGCCACCCACATTAGGTTTTCATACAACACCATCCAAGCCTTAGTCCCAAAATAGTCTGGGGCCACATTAGGTTTTCATATAATAAGATAATTCATGGGACTGCCGACTGCGGGAGTTTACAAATGTAAAATATGATGTGATTGCATCTTACGATAATCCCATGTGCTCCGCGATAGTAACTGCTTGTTATAGTTCGGAAACGCTCCTGGCCAGCAGTATCCCACTAGCAAAACAAAAATGAAATGCTTTAAGACAATGAAAGCTGTTTATTTTGCCAATCAGAAGATGTTCTAAATCATCAAATGACGTGTACATGTCAGAACACGAAATATAAAATACTCACAATTTGAAGCTTGATTGTCTTCTCGTCAAGCTCTGCTGTCCTAATTTTCTGCAAATTGAGGAGAATGAGGAAATTTGTTCAAAAATAATCAGAACAATTGTAAAATGAAATACAATCAGTTAAAGATATTGTCTTACAAAATCAACTCCAATCGTGCTGATGTAACTGTCAACATATGAATCATCCTGACATGATCAAATTAAACATCATCAAGACCAACATTATCTTCAGCAATGCCACTAGCTTTGGGAAATAATCAATTAAATATCATCCCAGAGTACACAAGTATATTCATCAAAGGAACAAACTTCAGACGAAGATCACAACTTTGGTTTTCATAAGCAAAGCATAATCCTAAGGTTATCATTTGATCCCTAGTGAAAAAGAACACAAACAATCACCTATTCCAGACTCTACTACTGCAAGTTTTCATCGATAAGCACACAGAAAACCAGCAAGTAGCTCAGGCATGGAGGTGTGTTTGGGTACAACGATACACATAGAGAGCGGGGCAAGGAGACAAACATACAGCGAATCTGAGAAGAAGACAAGACTTGCCGACGGAAGAGTCTCCTATCAGCAACAGTTTGAACAGATAATCGCTACAAATACCCAAAAATCAGAAATTAACCAAAAATTCTCAAATGCGAATCAGCTCGACACATCTAGTAAGAGAAAGATACTGAATATCTCACTATTCGTTACTCATGTCTTCCTTTCTGGGATGGATTTTCGATCTGCTCTGCTCTTTTTCTTAGTAGCTGGTTTGTCTTCAACCCTTCGTATCCTTTGAAGTTGAAGAGAATGAAACCTTGTTTTTTACGGAGCTCAAAATAATCAAATCAAAAATAATATCTACTGACTCCTGAAATAGTGAAATGACATCCGGATATTAATATTTTTAAAATGAAATATCGTACGATTATCAACCAATCTGACTGAAAATATGATCACTATTATTTTAAAGGAAAATTTATTTATTAATAATGATTAATAATAGTAATAAGAGGTAAGACAATACAACAACTTAAGGCCACATTGGAGTGAGACATAAAATTGACGAGTCCCGAATGACCCACCATAATAGCTAACTCTGCAACAATGTAAACTAATGTAACAAAATTGTTGAACTTGCTACTAAAATAGGGGTAATTAAACAAGAATTCTAAAATAACAACACTAAAAATCTAAAATAAATCAAGTCTCTTGATTTGCCAGCCATCTAGAAGGGAGAAAAGTTTTATCAACCACCTTCAAGGAAATCATTCCGATTTTACCAGCCACCTGGAAGTTAGCGGAGAAAAGATTTGCTCAACCACCTCTAAAGGAAGCACCTCGCTCACAAGGCCTATCAGTATTCCAGGCGGTGCTAATCCGGGAGCACCGCCGTTGAGGCGTTTTTTGATCCGCTTTCATCAACCTTCATATGGACTTGAATTTCCACCAGGTTCTGCAAATCCACGGTTTGTCATTTTCTAGCCTCTCCTTTCTCAAGGGCTCTAGTTTGATTTTGCTCTTCCTCAGCTCCCATCTTTCCTTTTCCCCTTAAAGTAAGTGCGTGGACTGGGTAACGGCCAGCCTCTCTTGCCTACTCTGGTATCTCCATCCCCTTCCCATCCATCTATTCACCTTCCCTGACTTTTGTTAGCTCTCGCCCTCCACGCAGAATAAGTCATTTATTCCCTAGATGAACCCCTCCATGCCGCCGCATATTTGCCATCATCCCAGGCCGGTAAGGCTTCTCTCCCACCCACGACCCCAAACTGGTATTAGATGGGAAATACTACCTCCGTTCCACTAAGATTGAGACAAAAGAAGATGACACGATTATTAAGAAAAGTTGATTTGTGTGGTTGATATTAAATTGATAAAGTAAGAATAAAGTAAGAATGATTTAGAGCCACACAAACTTTACCAAATTTGGTATGAGACAATCTTAGTGGGATTTTCCGAAAAGGTAAAATGGGACAATCTTAGCAATCAGTATGACCCAAAACTCCACAAATGAAGCAAAGATTTTGAAGTCTCTCATATTTGAAATACTCCCAGACCTAGCTATCACATGCTTCTCGGACTTGTGTAATTCTTTTCAACGCATTCTTGATATCTATAGAAACACAGACGCGAACATACTCCTTACTGTCTCATGATAAAATTGAACCATAAATCACCCATCTCCGATCTGTTCAATGTTCACCCCTCTACTCGATGTCATATTATTGTCATTGTCTCACAAAAAGAGATAGGTCGGGCATTTTGTCCGTCACAACCCTAACAACCGCATAAAACCATGGGTTATCTCCATCCCCACCGTTAACATCCAAAGCACGAGATTCAAAAACTAATCCATTGTTTTCCTCTTCCTCAATATACATTCTCCCATAATCAAACGATGAATTCTCCATAATAGAGCAAAGAACAAACACACACTCACAAAGTTTCTAGTAACAATCAGACTAAACAGATTGACCAACAACACACAAAAAACATTTACAAAGAATCACACTAAACCCTCACCCAGAGTACTCGCCTCTCTCGAACGAAAACCAGTTTAAAACCATAAAAAGGAGCCAGTGAAGGAGATAATAAAACCTTAATTACCGTAGCACATGATTAGACCATTGTCAAGCTCCTGATGCGCCGTCGCGCCGAGCAAGGTCAGGGAGATGCGCTGCTGTGTTGTTGATTATTGATAAGAGTACCTAGAGACATAGCAATAAAAAACCGAAATATTACAACTATAGCGTTCAATGTTGCACTAAGGTGAGACAAAGAATTAAAAAGACCTATAAAGACGCTCTTATTCAATAACCCTGTAATGATGTAGACTACTAGCATAATGTGACTGCACTTGCTACTCAAAACGGATTCGATATGACCAGTCATTGATAAGGAATTATTAAACATCTCGGTTTTGTCATCCACCGATAAGGAGTGAGGTGCATAATTTGTTATGGTTTCACCAGCCATCCGAAAGAAAACAATCCATGCAATCTCATTTCCTGGATCCATGCAATTTTCATTCCTGAAAGCGGAAAATACGACCCCTAAACCTAGGGGAGACGACCGCAGTATAACCTAAAATGAGATTACTCGAGTAGTGATTATTAATATACGTCTAGATCGTAAATATACATTTAGATATGTATCTAAATGTATAAGAAAAATCCTGAGTTCAGTTTTGATTAGGAAAAATTGACAAGAATAATCCCATTTTTTACTGGTGTTCTCATAATAATCCCACTTTTATGTAATCTCATAATAATCTCACCTTTGCACCTCTTCTTCTTTCATTGGATCCTGATCGGTTAATGACCTACTGTATCAAGTTATTTACGCTTTCTTTGAAAATCGTACATAAATAATCTCACCTTTCACAAATCTGCTCAAAACGGTCTCATGTTTCCTTTTTCCTTTTTCTTTTTTATTTAATATTTTTCTTTCTTTATTTTCATCTCTAGATACTTTTTTATTCCTTTTTATATCCTTTTGTTCTTATTTTTTTCGTTTTTATTATTCTATCTCTCACTCTTTTAGGAGAGTTTCTTATTTTTTGAAATTTCCCTCCAAAATAGCTCTTTTTTCATTTTCTTTTTCTTCTCGTATTTTTTTTCATTTCCCTTCTTCTTAATCATTCTCTTCTTATTAAAGATCTTTTCCCACTTTACTTTTTGTAATGTTTTCCTTTTATTTTCACTTTTCTCCTTTTTTATTCTTGTTACTTTATTTATATTTTTTCTTCTTTCTTCCTTTCTTTCTTCTTATTTTCTTAATTTCACCATCAATATGTGTTTTCTCCTTTCTTCACAATAAAAATACGGGGGGGGGGGGGGGGGGGGGCTTAATGGCAGCGGCAAAATCGACGGCGTGAGAGAGAACTCGGTCGATTGGTGAGCAGAGAGAAGTCGACGGCAGTGAGGATGGTCTGGGTGAAGTCGATATATGATGTGCAAGGAAGAAAGAGGAGGATGTGCGCAGGAGAGAATGGGGGAATAGGTTGTGCGCAGGGGAGACGTGCGTAAAAGGGAGAAGGGGGTAATAATGGAATGAAATATACGTATGTTTTAAAATAGGAGTATAATAGTCCTATTTGGGAAAAAAACATACATGGTTCTATTTAAGATTTTTTATCTCCTCTTTTAGTCCTATATAAGGCAATTACTATAATTATAATTATATAGATGCTCGTTAGAAAACAGCTACGTTGGTTAACATCATTAAAATGTATGTTTAAACATGTAATTATTAAAGTGATAAGTAGGCATAATATGAGATATGAATATCATAGAGTCATGCAATGATGTGAATGGTTGATGTAAATTTTTTCAATCCTTTGGCGAGCAAGACTTAATATCAGTATGACCACTTATAAACAAAGTGTCAATTATTATTGATTTTACTTAGGTATGTTTGGAAGTTGGGTTTTTAGGGGTAGGGATGGTTGATGGAGTTTATGACCTTCCTTTTTATATTTGGGAGTTTATAAAATTGGAGAGATAGTTTTGGAGGGCTTTCGTGATCCTTCATAACCCTCTCAATGCTCAATTTTTTAGTTCCTCCAATTTGGAAGATTTTGAGGGATAATCAATAAAATGTTTATTTAAGCTCAATTAAAAATAAATATCAATTCAATTATTTGAATTTGTCATGTCTCAAAGTGATACTCCTTATTAATTATTAATTCATTCAAAATACTCTCTTCTTCCAAATTTATTACTCTCAAACACATAGAAGAGCTTCCTCACTCTTCCCTCCCTTTTCCTTTGATGGTCCCGGATAGAGATAAAAGTCTAGAGGGGAGTGAATAGACTTTTAAAGCCTTTTCAACTTTAAAACTTTTCCCTACTAGATAGGATGATCTATAATCTTTTGGGAGATTGTAGATGCACATCGGATGTCTTAACCTCTAAATAAACAGTGTATGATAACTTTCTATTTATAGTAAGTTTCCTTAAGGCCAGTATGGTTGGGGGATTTCGGAGGGAAGGAAAGTGGAGGAGTCATATTTAAATTTAAAATATTTTTTCCATTTAAAAAATCAAATAAAGTGAAGACAAAATAGTATATAAAAACATGATTTAACTAATTATATAGTTATTTGAAGTTTAAAAGTAAAAAATTCAGATAAATTAATAAAATAAAAAAAATCAATCCTCACCTTCCTTCCCCTCCGAAATCCCCCAACCATAGCCCTTAAGGAAAAGGAAAATGGACAAGTGAGTTTAGAAGACTATCAGATTAGTCTTATGATATCTAAATTAGTCAAATAGAGTATTTGAGTGAAGTTTGGACTTATTTAGGTGAGCAGTTGACTGGGCAGCTGAGTAGACTGCAGGGAACTGCTGGTTCAGCTGTTGAGGTAAAATGAAAGTATGATAAATCTGATTATAGAATTTTGCTAAGGATGATGAGAGCTTTCTGGAAATGTATTGAGCTGAGTTGAAGTGAAGGTTTATGTGGCCATTGGACTGAGCAGCAGAGTAGTCACTAGGGGACTGTTGAGGCTACTGCTGAGTTAAAATATGTTCTTCAGATATCTGATTAAACAAGTTTGTTTGTAATGATCTTATAAGGCTCTTGTGATATTGAGATGTCTTAAAGAAAGTGTATAAATGGGTAGTGGGCTGAGCAGCAGGGTAAGGTGAGGCTACTGCTTAGATTACTGCTAAAAAGCTGCTCTCTTTCTATAAGATGTGTTTGGTGTGTGCTTTGTTGACTGAAAGTAAATCAACACACAGTATATCCTGGTTCAGAGGTGGTGTAATCCTCCTACGTCGAGTCTCACCTTCTTTCAGATGGATTTCCACTAAAGTACTAAGCTCAACACACTTAGTGTCAATCTAGCCTTTATCACACAAATAGCCTAAAGTAATACA